ACTCAGAGTTTGAACCCATTGGGGTCAGATTAATGTGCAGGTGAAATCTGATTCCATGAGGGTCTACAAAGATCTGGTTTTGTAGGGGCTGCAAGAAGAACCACCAACGGGGAAGTGCTCCAATGGAGGACTTCCTCATGGTGATATCTGCCGAGGGAGCCTACACTAGACTCCGATGAAAGAACTGATGACTGAAGGAGGGCAGATCTTGGATTTGGCTGGATCATCAACCCTGCAAATCGGTTGGATGTGAGTGCTTGCTTCAGTCACCAACATCCAAGATCCAGCCAGGATTTACATCACACTATCAGTTGTTGCACAACAAACCCTTGCTGGCTTGTATGGCTTTTGCTCTTGTTTTTGTTACTCGATCCCCCTGTTATCTTTTAGCCCTTGCTCATCCCACATGCAGGTTAAAGCAACGCTGCAACATATATAGTATTTGCAATGTATTGGCATGTATTTTTTCATGTATCATGGTCTTGATATGATTTTTTTCATGACCAATGTGGTTCTATCGAGAGTCTTATTCATTTAATCTGGCTCTTTACCATATATGTTGGTACAATTCCTCGTGATACAAACTGTGTATTGTATTTGTTGCAGCGTTGGTTAAAGCACAGCAGATAACACATCAAATTGAGATGTCCAACTCAGCCTAAAGGAAGTAAAAGGATGTGACTTCCTTGGTTCGGGACAGTTGCATACATAGTCTCAAGTGGTGGGTTGTCTGAAGATCTTGATGCTCTGGAAGCGTGCAGGCCACAGCAAAACCAGGTGCTGGTACTGGGTATTTTTTTTCCCAAAATTCAACACCTCACACTGCGCTCAGCACCATACTGTGGCTACTCAGTTCTTTTGTTGTTATTGGGTGTGGGTGGGGGGGACAACATGTTGGTCAGGAGGTGGGTGGGACTGGAGGAAGGGATCCAATGTTATTTTTTTGAAAAAAAAAACTTTATCATTTGTTGTGAATATATATCATACTATTTTCCTTCACATGTTTTCTGTCTTTACTCTTTGGAGAAAAAAAAATGAAACTTACCAGAAAAAGAGATTAAGATTTGCTGGAAATTTTTTTAAAAAAATCCTCTTTTGCACATTTTGGTTGTAAGACTTATTCTTTGAAACCTGTTATAAATCACTTGATCAAGCTTCAGGACTTTGAATTGGTGGTTTAAGTTTCTGTAAATTAGCAATCTGTGCATACTGTTTATTTCCTTGAGGAATATGGATCATATATGAGATTTCATATACTGTTTTTGTAATCATTCATTCTAATCAGAAACAACCCTTTGTCCAGACAAATTGATCAAGGCAAGAATGTTTCCACAGCCTTGTCTCAATTCTAAGTCAAAACATGTTGTGCAATTAGTCTCAGATGAAAATGAAACCTTGCCAGTCTTTCTTTCTACAGCCAACAAATCTTCCTGATTCCTGAAATATTCACTCCATCAAACTTGAATTTACAAATCAACAAATTGAGGTAACATCAATATACATACCAGTATGAAGGCAATTTCAGGAGGCGCTTTCCTTGCCATCCTGGCTCAATTCCAAGTAAAATTAACACTTTCTACATCATCAATAGAAACACTGAATCCAAAGGAGGACAGTATCTGCATAAAAAGGTTAAGTACTTGATAAAATCAAATGATGCCTATAAAATTATTGGGGCTGATTACTGACTGGATGTAAAGAATATCTTTAAATAGATTTTCCAAAATGTTGGCTCCAGAATCAATTCACCATAGGCTCAGTAGAAGAGGCCTCCAGAACTATGAAGACAGAGAAGTTAGCCGTGAGATTGATTTCTTGAGTGAGTTTTTGCTTTTCCACAATCTTGCTTATACCCATCAGAAGCATGCAGGTTGCTGAAAGGTTGTTTTTTGATAGGCCAGTGGGAAGGACGTACAGCCCAAGAGGGTGGTTCTAAGAGGAAAAACTGTTATCCTCAGGGAGTAAATTCCCTTCTCCCGGATCCAGATGACCATCCAAACAAACTTAATCCAGGGAAAAAACTGAAGGCCCATGTTGTGGACAATGAGCAGACAAGTGATTCCCACTTGGATGGCAAATCAATGATGCCAATTGGCTCAGCTTAAATCTCAGTTAGCGTGGTTGTTTTTGAGTCTTATTTCCTGTTTCAAGAAACATTACAGGTTTGATAAAGTTGACCTAAAATTTCAATCACCTGCAGATAGCCATCCAACTACTAGGAAAATTTTTGAAACCCATAATTTTGGAACTACTTCCAAAGAAGCAGGTGTGACAAAGAACCTTATGAAATTGGTTAGAGATGAAGCAAAACTTCCATTTGTTTCTTCACTCTTAGATAAAAGCTCCAACTTGCTTGGGGGTTTTCAGAGACAAGTACTAGAAGCACATGCTAAAAATTACTTTCCAAAAAACAATTTGCAAGTTGAAAATTATGTCAAAATCTTGCACACAGATAAGAAGGGCTATGAGTCTGGAAAGAAGGACCCAATCATGGCAAGTGAATTGCCATGGAAAAATGCATATTTTCACCATGAAGGTCCTGATGTCTGGGCTTGGATCTACACAATGAAGCTGGGCATTTCTCAAGCAGTTTATCAGGAAATTGTGGACTACAAAAAGGAAGACATCTCAAGATTTATCAGATCTCTTGCCTCAGCTCTCCATCCACCCATGAGTTCAAAAGACTTTGCTTCAATTGATGAATTGACAGAACCAAATTCTAGCAATAGCTTCAAAGAATTCAGCCATCTTCTCTGGTGTGTGAATTCAAAATTCTTAAGGATTTTGAATCCAACAGATGAGGAATATTATCAGGAGCAATCAAGCATGCTTGAATGGGTTTTGGATCTTGTTTCTGGATCTAGCTCTCAAACCAAGGATAATTATGTTCAAAGTCTGATTATCAAAGCCCTCTCTGCCAGATATACATATCCAACACACAGTATCATCCAGCCTTGGAATGAAATACTGGTTGAATCAGTTTGTCCAAATCAGATATTCATGGCAGAAGCTGTAGTCAAAGTGATGCAATCATACTATGAACCAAAAATCAATCTCCCCAATTCCAACCTGCAAGCACACAAAAAAAAGATAATGACCAAGTGGGAAGTTTTGTTTCCACACCATTTCATTTTCAATATTGCTCTAGCAAAAATTCAGCTCTGGGATTCAGGAACCACTGCACACAAAAAATCTTTCAAGGTATTACAGAAACGGATTCAAGATATCAAATTCTTCCCTTGGCACAATATTCAGGAACCGCATACAGGATTAAACACCATGAAAAAAATCAGAACCAACGGTCCATTTTCTTTAGAAAAGCATATGAACATTGATCAGTATGTGAAAGAGATACCTAAAAAAGACCATCTTCATAATCAAGAGAATGAAGTTGGGAATATCCCCAATGAGTTTGATATACAAATTGAGAATGTTCTTGATAGTGTCCCTGAAGCCACATGGGGAGTCATTTCTGTGCTCACAAGGAACTACAACAAGTTCATGAAAAGCTCATCTGTAAGAGGTACTTCAATCAACTCACATACAATCCAATGGATGGCTTCACAGCATGAAACACCCCAAAATGGATTAAATTCTTATCCTAGATTGATGGAAATAACCGTTTTTGTTCAGGAAGTACGAGCTATCTTGAATATTATTTTGAAGTTGAATTTCAGATTGATGCTTAGCTTAGGCCTCCATCCTGAAGACGATTTGTTTTTAGATGAGCAATCTAGAGTTCACAATGAATTTCATTCTCTCCTGACTTGCTCAGATAATCCTCAAACAAACTCGTTCTATAACAACATAAGTTCAAAATCCAAGTCCATGATCAAACATCCCACTCAACAGAGGATTCTAGAAGCGTTGAATTTTGATCCAAGGGGGGATGAAGAACAGAAGTCAAAGATGATGACTAGGGCTGCAGTGCAAGTCATAATTGCTTATTACTTCAAGTCTAACACTGGCAAGTTCTTGCAGGTTTTTCCAAATGAATCCATCTTCATCTCGAGCTTGGTTCGGATAACCAAACGGACTGGAGAAAGATTCTTGCATGAATACTTCATGCTCAATGGGTTTAAGGAGATGGCCAACCTGAAGCTATTTCCATGGAGGAACTACTTCCTCAAAACTTCAAACAATCTCGTCATACTCAAAAGACTTATCCAATCCCAAAGAGGCTGTTGAACATCCTCAAGGGAAGAAGTCGGATCAAATGTTTTCTTTGAATATCAAGAGATGGAGATCTTTTTAATATTTTAACGAGATACTTCATCAAAAGGATGAGGGATACAGGTCATCAAAGAATTTCAGATTCTCAAAAATAAATTTGGATATGCTTTATCTTTTTGATATGTACATTCCCAAATGTTTCCTCCTATTGTTTTTTTTTTCTCTTTTCCTCTGAGTGGCATATAAGATGCTCTCTGAGATATCCAACAACACATTTTACAAAGCCTGATCAGTTTGGTTTTTTGATTTGGAATTATATGAGGCTCCTACATAGAACCATTTGCCTGTTTTCCCTTGTGAATTCCTTGATCCACTTGAGGTACATACCACCAAGAATGAAAACTTTTTAACTTATCTTCTGAGTGTAATGATAGTTCCAGCTTTGATTGCTACTTTTGTGAAAGTGATCCAAGGCTGGGAATGTTGAGCTGAATTTTTAATCAGAGTATGAAATTATCAAAACTGTTGTGCCCAAGTATGAGATAATGTTGGAACATGTCACAGGCATGGTCATGGTGTCTGGGTTTCCTTTTTCTTTTTTTTTTGGAAATTTATCCAGGTTACAGTAAAAAAATAATAATAATAACACACGAGCCATGTCTATCAACCCAACCACCAACCAAGACGAACAAAACCAGCAAGAACAGACGAACTTCTTCGAGCCCATCGGAAATACTGCCGAACGATTGGGCCAAGCTGGGACAGCGCAAGATCAACAGGACCGGGAAGCGAAGGATGATGATGATCAGGGAGAGGAGGAAGTATGCATGCCCGAAGGAGTCGACTCGATCGAAAGTCTTTGCATGAATTGTGGAAAAAATGTACG